ATAAGGAAACCTTTCTTATAACCTAGTGCTTTTATTTCTAAATATCAAAAAGTTAGCACACACAAAACTGTTTATAGCTCTTCTTAATCAAGTTCAATGGTAATGGTGAACTTAATGCTTTTAAAATAAAGCACAAAACCTCCTTTGCAACTCAAGTCAATCCCATAAATAGAGACCACCTACAAAGCCACTAAACCAGTGCCTACTAATAAAACTTGAGCACGTGATTGAAATACACCTACTTCGACAAAGATAGAAACCGTTATATTAAATAGCCTTGATCCTCAATAAACTGCAACACGCACCTCACCATCCAAACTCTGAAAGCTCAAACTTTATGAAGCCACACAATCACATGAAGTTCAGGCTTATCTTGCCTAGTACACACTAACACGCCACAATTTTAACTCTTACAATTAGAATAAGGTCTTAACGGACTAATCAATTCACATATGTACATTTATCAGCAAAAATATTTAGCAGTTATACAATAAAGCTCACCGCAGAAATCAAGAGCAATTTTCAAGCCATTATTGGCGCCATGAGAGTACTCCTCTTGGTTCCTGATTGAGCCATTTGGTCCACCGGTCTTCGTGTTCACGTCATACGTTCCCGCGTCATGCCACCTTAAAAAAAAAAAAATAAATAAAGAATTATCACAACTAACTAGTTTCCTTTAAACTTTCTCTCGTTTACTCGGGAAACAAACAGGAAGCTATAGGGAGAGTGTGTACGCTAAGCGGAGCATGATAGGAGCGCAGTTCTTGTAGGCGATTAAAGCGCGAAGATCGCGGCGAGCCTTGTCGATCTCCTTCAGGTACTCTGTATCAACCACCGGTAACGCCATGTCAGCTCACGGTATAAGTAACTGTGACAGTTAAGAGAGCGAGCTTTGGTTTTGAAGAAGAAAATAAATGACCATTGAAGAGGGACCATTAGAAATGGATTAGGTGAACAAGATGAGTTATTCTTACATGCAATCGAGTACCAATTTGATGATTGAGATCGGTACGTGGCAGATAGTCGTTGGCTATAGTCATCAAGGGTCAAAGTCAGAGATTATGTCAAAGATCAATTGTTTTTTTATTTATAATTGTTTTTTTTATGGTTGAGGTGTCTAGACTAATTTGTGCGTCTCAATTAATCTCTAAGATCCTAAAACTACCGATCAAATAAGAGCTTCAGTTTGAAGACCCTAGAATTATCGATCGAACAAAAACTCTAATAATCACTCTTATTTAGACCTGGCAAAACGAGCGAGCAGGCCGAGTACGGGTTGGGTCTAAATGAGTGCGGGTCTCACGGGCACGAACCCAAAACAGATCGATTTAAATGGGTTCAATATTTTGGATCCACACCCTATCCTATGCAGGTACGGGTGGACTTGCGGGTACCCATACTGTTCACTCCAGTTTTAGATTTTTGCAATTACACCCCCAAATCTTCCTAAAATCTTGATTCTTGAGCAAAATTTGTCCTTCTCAAGTCCAAACAAAAATACTCTTATACCTAATACAGTTTTAGTTCAGAAAAAACATATCCAAATTTTTATAATCATTCAAGTTATCATAAGAACGAATAAAGAGAATCATATTAAACCAAATAAAAATCTCTAATCCCCAATTTTAGATGTAAATTGAATCCTTTAACATTAAAGAAAATAACTGAAATTTTAAATAATTAATTTTGATGAACTCGGCTAACGCAAGATTTAGATAAATCAATATGATCTCTTTTCTTTTTCCCCACAATTTAGAATCATTTTCCCTAGTTTTCTAAGCTGCCAAAGTGCCAATCACGAATCAAAACCATACATACAAACTAGCCCAATTACAAAAAAAATAAAAAATAAAAATGTCCCTTACATTATTTTCTCCCAAGTTTTCTCACCAACCAAACAGTAACCCAGAACCTAACAAAGAAAAAGGTAAAAAAATTTACCGATTATCTTCTTATTCCTCATCAACCAAATAAACCCACATAAAAAAATCTAAAAAAAAGAAAAAATTTACACAAGAAAAGCAGCAGCAGGACAAGCTAGAAAGTATTTACTAAGTACAATAAATGGAGACAAGACAAATTAGAAAAACTTTCTAGATTTAGTTTGATTCTAGTTTCCAAAGGAATACACATGATTGACATCTGTTATCTGCAGAACAATTAGAATAAAGCAAGAAGAGCAACCTTCAATGTTACTAGATTGTAGCCTAGGAGAAGCTGACGATGCCAGAGAATCGACTCCAAAAATTGGAGCTGTTGAAGAGTGAAGAGTGAAGACGAAGGAGATGAGATCAAATCGGCGACAGTGATACACATACCTTGCTGCGCCGATAGTGGAGATTGCAAATGTGGCTAATGAGAAGCAGAGACAGGAGAAGCGATGACGGTGGAGTTAAGGATTTTGATGACGATGAGTTTGGGAGAAGGNCTAATCAATTCACATATGTACATTTATCAGCAAAAATATTTAGCAGTTATACAATAAAGCTCACCGCAGAAATCAAGAGCAATTTTCAAGCCATTATTGGCGCCATGAGAGTACTCCTCTTGGTTCCTGATTGAGCCATTTGGTCCACCGGTCTTCGTGTTCACGTCATACGTTCCCGCGTCATGCCACCTTAAAAAAAAAAAAAATAAATAAAGAATTATCACAACTAACTAGTTTCCTTTAAACTTTCTCTCGTTTACTCGGGAAACAAACAGGAAGCTATAGGGAGAGTGTGTACGCTAAGCGGAGCATGATAGGAGCGCAGTTCTTGTAGGCGATTAAAGCGCGAAGATCGCGGCGAGCCTTGTCGATCTCCTTCAGGTACTCTGTATCAACCACCGGTAACGCCATGTCAGCTCACGGTATAAGTAACTGTGACAGTTAAGAGAGCGAGCTTTGGTTTTGAAGAAGAAGATAAATGACCATTGAAGAGGGACCATTAGAAATGGATTAGGTGAACAAGATGAGTTATTCTTACATGCAATCGAGTGCCAATTTGATGATTGAGATCGGTACGTGGCAGGTAGTCGTTGGCTATAGTCATCGAGGGTCAAAGTCAGAGATTATGTCAAAGATCAATTGTTTTTTTATTTATAATTGTTTTTTTCATGGTTGAGGTGTCTAGATTTATGCGCCTCAATTAATCTCTAAAATCCTAAAACTATCGATCAAATAAGAGTTTCAGTTTGAAAACCCTAGAACTATCGATCGAATAAAAACTCTAATGATCACTCCTATTTAGACCTGGCAAAACGGGCGAGCAGGCCGGGTACGGCTAGGGTCTAAACGAGTGCGTGTCTCATGGGTACGGACCTAAAATAGGTCGATTTAAATGGGTCCAATATTTTGGACCCACACCCTACCCTATGCGGGTACGGGGGGACCCGCGGGTGCCTGTACTATTCACTCTAGTTTTAGATTTTTGCAGTTACACCCCCAAATCTTCATAAAATCTTGATTCTTGAGCAAAATTTGTCTTTCTCAAGTCCAAACAAAAATACTCTTATATCCAATACAGTTTTAGTTGAGAAAAAACATATCCAAATTTCTATAATCATTCAAATTATCATCAGAACGAATAAAGAGAATCGGATTAAACCAAATAAAAATCTCTAATCCCCAATTTTAGATGTAAATTGAATCCTTTAACATAAAAGAAAATAACTGAAATTTTAAATAATTAATTTTGATGAACTCGGCTAACGCAAAATTTAGATAAATCAATATGATCTCTTTTCTTTTTCCCCACAATTTAGAATCATTTTCCCTAGTTTTCTAAGTTGCCAACCACGAATCAAAACCATACACACAAACTAGCCCAATTAAAAAAAAAAAAAAAGAAAAAGTCTCTTACATTATTTTCTCCCAAGTTTTCTCACCAACCAAACAGTAACCCAAAACCTAACAAAGAAAAAGGTAAAAAACTTTACCGATTGTCCTCTCGTTCCTCATCAACCAAATGAACCCACATAAAAAAATCTAAAAAAAGAAAAAAATTACACAAGAAAAGCAACAGCGGCACAAGCTAGAAAGTATTTACTAAGTACAATAAATGGAGACAAGACAAATTAGAAAAACTTCTAGATTTAGTTTTATTCACGTTTTAGTGGTTTCCAAAGGAATACACATGATTGACATCTGTTATCTACAGAACAATAAGAATAAAGCAAGAAGAGCAGCCTTCAATGTTACTAGATTGTAGCCGAGGAGAAGCTGAAGACGCCGGAGAATCGACTAATTGGAGCTGCTGAAGAGTGAAGAGTGAAGACGAAGGAGATTAGATCAAATCGGCGATAGTGATGCACATACTTTGCTGCGCCAACAGTGGAGACTACAAACGTGGCTGATGAGAAGCAGAGACAGGAGAAGCGATGATGGTGGAGTTAAGGATTTTGATGACGATGAGTTTGGGAGAAGGTTGATGAGAAAGTGAGTTTGAGTTAGGTTAGGGATTTTGCGATTTGGGGCAAAACGAAAAGGCGAAAGGGTTTTTTTTTTTTTTTTTTTAAATGGTTACCTGCAGGCACCCGCGGGTGTACCCGTTTGGCCGGTTGCCAAAACGGCTCCGACCGGGTATAGGTCGAAAAAAAACGAGTCCAATAATAAAGATCCACACCCTATATTTTTTACCCGGGTTTAGGATCAACCTACAGGTCCAAACCCGTTTTGTCAGATCTACCCCTATCAAAGGTCATGGAGATCCAAACTCCCTTTATTAAAGACCGTGAGATTCAAATTCGAAAAACCATGATAAATCATAATATTACTCTTTTACCATCGAGGAGATTCCACCTTGAAAATTCATGTTTGATCCTCCTTTGCCAGAGGGAAGATTAATTTATAATTTCTTTTCTTTTCTTTTCTTTTCACCCAAATTCTGCATAAATCTTTATTTTAGTAATTAACTGTAAAACGCCCATCAATAATCATAAATAAATCACTTTTATGTTGACATCTATTTGTCACTTTTTCTTCATGGGATAAAACACAAAGAGATGGGCTACAAATATAATTATATATGAATAAATATCAAATTTTATTTTTAAAAAGGAAGAAATTCACGAAAAAATAATTAAGAAGAAGGAACCATTGGGATTTTAATCCGAGGGGCACCGGGTCCTTGCTTGCTTAACTATAATCACAAAAACCAAGTCCTTGCTTGCTTAACTATGAGCAAACCAAAGCGAAAAAAGAAATGCAAAGTAGAACAAAGCTTAAAATCAACCAGGGGATTCTATGTGATTAGTATTATAATCACAACACCATGTACAAAATAAACAAACAAAATGGTCTTTCCTGGCAGTAGCCAATTGATGATCCTTCTATGACAAGCTTATGAAGCTGTTCTCCATTGCATCTCGATCTGGATTCGCCCATTCCTCGAGTCAATAAGATGGTACTTCTCATTGATTCGTTTGTTGCTAACAGCATCTGAAAGATTGATGTCCACATAACCCAGAGTTTCCTGGTTACATAAAAATATATGGTTATCATCACACCTAAAGGACGAGACAAAAACACTCTGCACTAAAGACTAAACAAGCAGTTTTTAACCATATAATTGTAGTTCCTGTCTCATTATTTTCAAACTTCTGCCCAACCCTTCAAAATTTTTGAAGGTTTAGGGGGAGTTCCAGTCTCGAAATTGTTTGTCACGTAGATTAAAGAGATTACAGGGTCATAAAAGAATTTTAAATAAGAAAAAAAGAAAAAACCATGCAGAAAGCACAGTGAGAGTAAACAAACATGTTAAATTACCGAATTTACTATGTGCATCCATCAAGTAAATTTCTAAACTTTCTCAAACATAAAATTACAATACCAATCACTGACTATATCATGCCTAAGAAATGTAAGAATACGACTTGACAAATTGTTTAGATTCCACCAGATTTTTTTCGCTCTTTTATATGGTCAGGGCCATATGAAACAAACTTGAATACCATAGATAGATAAGACGGGGTGTAATGAGGGCACTTTAAAGGTATTCAATCAACAACCCAACGGGAAAATCTTCTTCTTTCAACAGTACTCCAATCATATGCTTCATTTTGCACACAAGATGAAAAGGAATTGAAATCAATACCTTTGGATGAAGGAGTCCAATCCTCGATGAGGTGCTGACAACTTCCACATGTAGTCTATCATTAGTAGGAGGCTCCTCTAGCATGAATGTGAACTCTTCTTCCCATCTTGGATCTCTGTTCTTCTTTATATGCTGTATCCGTAAAAAGACCATAATCATCCATTAAACATACCATCAACCATAGGTGAAAGCACAAAAAATAAGATTCCATAAAAGCTGCCAAGCTATTTAGTATTTAATAATCTCGCTGCATTAACCAGATAAGATTTGTTTTCTCAAGAAGAAGCTTCTACTGCTCATCACTTAAATAATACTTTGGTAGTTATGTTGCTTTTGGGGTATAACGCTCGTTCTATGTTCTCTTTTTTGTTCCTTTTAACACATTTCTCATTCTATCAAGATTGTTTTAAAATCCTAGTAATGTAACAGAAAAAGATTCATGGGAAAAGTACACAAAATGTAGTAAGGAATTGACAAACTCTCTTTGAAAGGGTACCATACGACTTATTAAAAAGGGGGGAAAATGCTGCAGCAAATATGGCTGAGTTGGACTATAACCAGAGCTTTTCTGACTTAATTTTGAGAAAAAAAAAAAAAAACACAAAAAACTTCATTTTTTTGCAGGAAGACAACTGATGAAAATCAAAACGAATCTTAAAATTAAAAAATTGAATGCTAATACCTTAGTTTTTCTCTCCTCCCCTCTAAAAAGAANAGGCAGTAAATATGGCTGAGTTGGACTATAACCAGAGCTTTTCTGACTCAATTTTGAGGAAAAAAAACACAAAAAACTTCAATTTTTTGCAGGAAGACAACTGATGAAGATCAAAACGAATCTTAAAATTAAAAAATTGAGTGCTAATACCTTAGTTTTTCTCTCCTCCCCTCTAAAAAGAAGTCGTACATATGGATTAGTGTGATGCTTTCCTTCAACATCTTGAGCTTCATGGACTATAACTACAAGCAAACCTCCGCCAGGAGGAGTATTATCAGGAGCCTTTTGCACTGTATGTGATTCTTCAAAACTTGTTGGCATTTCCTCCTCTTTAAATGGTTTATATGTCAATTCCGCTACAAGCTGTCCACGTGACTTCTCATTTTGAGCATCATTTAAGTTCATGTTTTTGAGAAGATCAAGAGTCATAACCTTTGGCTCTTCAGGAGTAAGTTCTTTCAGAGGAACGACATTCATACCCATTTTATCATGTTTGCCAACCTAAGAAAGGAAAAAAACAAAAAAGTTTACACAACATGGAAACAAGAGCAACTTTTGACAAGTGATCTGGAATAATATACCTGCTCCCAATCATACACAATGAACTCTAAAGCCTGAGACTGTGGGTCTTTAACAACAAAATTATATTCCTCATTCCATTCAGGGTTCAAGTTCTTGTGCTTCACAGTGGATTTCTTTGATGGAAGCTTATCCTCAGTGAGCTTTAGTTTCACGTAAGGGTCTGATGCACCCATAAGATCTTTCTTCTTCAGATTCATTGCCTTTATAAGCTTCACATGGAGAATTCCAACAGGTCTCCTGTAGGCTCTGCATATAGCAATTAATTTATTCAGCCAAAATACAAGTGATAACCAGAATGAGGCTATAAGTCCTAAGAGAATTCTGGAGTTTAAGTAGAAACATACTTAGCTGGATCCAAGATTGGAACTTGTAGGGTTTTGGGCCACAGATACATGTTGGCCACCTGATCTTTAATAAGCTCCTGGGAAAAAAACTCTTACACTTTTAGAACCAATAATCGGTATAAAATAAATCTTCAATCATTTGTGTAAAGGAAAGTTGCTATATTTCAAGAAAGAATTAGCAAAATAAGCCAACTTTGCATGACCTTGACCAAAAAATTAAACTGCCATCACAGATGAAGACACCACCAAATAATACAAGTTGACAAATGAATATGTTGCACAAGAAAATTTAAGAATGCCTGTTCCGACAAGGTGACAACTAAAACGAGTCATCAAGTCATCCAAAATCCATGCAAAATCACAACTTTTCCAGATCATAAGAAAACAGCTAGTAATTACAAGTACTGTCAGATTGAACCACAAAGCAGGCACAATGTACAAATATGCATCAATTTAATTAAAATATATACAATTTTTTTTTTCTTTTGCAGTCTACTGTACCCCATATTATGGTAAAAAAAATTGAGAAAACCTCATATAACAATCACTTGGATGCATAAAGACACAACACAGAATAGAATGAAAGAAGCTTTGTAGCTTTGTACCTGGACAAACCGGTAGACACCAGGTATAGACATAAGATCAGCCCCTATAAGCTTTAGTCCAAAGTCAACATGAGGCTGCAAATTAAAAGATTAATAATCAAGAGGATAGAATAACTCATCATAAGAGGAATAAAGGAATATTGTTTCATCACATTTCTACTAATTGAATATGCTGTATTTAAGATCTTATATATCTAGGAAAATGTGTACCAATCCAAAGAACATATACCAGTATCATCATATTCCAGCCAATCCCTTTCTATGAGACTCCATGTGACAGCAACCACAACAAATAAATCCCAAAGGAAACTCCCAAACATTCTGGACATCCAATCATTTTTAGCATTGTTCAACTTTCTTAAATATATAGCTTAAAAGAGCGGTAAAAGAAAGCTATTACGTAATGGTTTTCAACAGTATCATAAAATGACACCATCAGCAGAAAAATAAGTGCAGTAACCATTAACCATCAGCTGCCAACACCCGCAAAATTACACATTAATAAAGCAGAATCAAGGTAATTCCCCCATCCCTACAACCATTTTGAACAGTAAAATCATTCAGAAGGAAATATAAAAGTAATTCATTTGGACAACTCCTATACTCTGCACAAGAACTAGATGCATTTGAACATCATCCAAAAACCCCTATACTAACCAACAGTATTTGCAAATTGATGTGATAGAAAAATAACTAAAGACTACCTTTGCTTCAATCATTATAGGCATATTATGTAACTCTAGCTTAATTCTAATATGCCTAAGAAATAAATGAGTGAACATTTCCAATGTTCAAAAGAACCCATACTTCAGAAAAACTGTCATGTCAGATGAAGAATTTCGCATAGATTATAAATAATTTGACCCAATCAAAACTTAATATTAACCATTATTACAAACCTTTTCCATGAGAGAAACATAGATTTTGGCAAAACAAGGAAACGTAGGGACCAAGGGCTTCAGAGTGATGCGTGGTGCAGCAAAAACTTGTAAATCCACCACCTGAAAATATAAAGAGCACACGGTATTAACAAGTAGCACAGGGAGAAGGAGGATGTCTCTCCCTCTCTCTCCATCAAATATAAGTTATTGGACATGAAACATTTTTTTTTTTTTTTTCAGTCAGCACAACAATACAAACCTGCACTGTTGCCTTCAACCCAAATGCTTTAACAGCAACAGTGACATTAGGATTTCCAGCCCATTTTATGCATGGTTCCATAATCAATTCCTTCTCATCAGTGAGATAAACTTTCATACCTGACACAAATTTAAGATTTCCAAAAGAAGAAAAAAATGAGCTCATAAGTTTGGAACACATTATACATGATAAATTAATTCAGCTGATAAATTAATTCAGCAGATAAAATAAAGTCGATGGAAAGAACAGAAAACATCAAGCTGCTTCTAATGAATGATGACCACATAATTACATTATCCATAAATCAAGATAAAGGAACAAAAGCATGAAGTAACAACTTAACCAAAAGCATGTCAAAAAAAAAAAAACCATAAAAGAATAAACTGCAACCATGTTTACAATATCCTACTGTAAGCACCACATGCACACAGCCAAGAGCACGTTAAAATCCTTGGAACACTATACTAATTCACAATCAGAAAACAAATGGGACAGATTTCCTAACATATATCAAAATTTCAGGCCTTTGCGCTTGCTAATAGATTCATAACCAAAACAAAACAAACCAAACAAGAGATGAGAACTGCCTACTTTCAACTGAAAACTATTCCAAAATAACAAATAATGGTAATAACAGGAACCTCTAGGTTTAACTACTTGAGTTAGTTCCAAATGTTCATTATGCTTTATTCTAGAAATAAGTGCATAACATTCTTTCCCTACATAAAAGGTATCTAGTAATGAGAAGACTAGCAATAATTTTTCTCTTAGATAAGGACTTTGACATCACTAACATTAAACCAAATCTTATATTTCTCTAAGAGAATAACTTTTTTCAATATACATTATACAGGGCAATTATTCTACATTTCACTCTATCTTTTACAAGTGACAGCACAACTGTCATTGATGTAGACATAAACCCACTTAAAAAATCTTCAATTCTAATCCAGCAACCACAGGCATCTACATAAGAAGTTATCATTTTTTTTTTTTTTTTCCATTTTTCTTGATACAAAAAAAGAAAAAACCCCTAAAAGGATTCCAAAAAATACAAAATTATAAAGGTATATCAGGTCTACTAACCGTGAAAAGTTGGTGGTAGAGACCCTAATGTAAGTGTTTCAAATTCAACAGAGTCAATTTTATATTTAGGAATTTGCTCTTCAATTATGGGTGTTGCAATATTCTTCGCAGTCTTGCAAATGGCCTATATCAGAAGAAAAGAAAGAGTCATACATGCCCAATAAGAACAAGGAGGAGGAAGCAATAAACTGATAAGAACATGCATTGCCAGAAAGAGAAATCAAACCTTGTCAAGATAAGGCCACATATATTCAAGGAACTTATTTAGCCAATCAACCTTCACAGGAAAAAATCAGAATCGCATGTCAAAACAAAATGCAACACCCAAATCATAACATAACATAGAAAGAAGTCATGGCATTGATACATACACGATCAAAGTCTGGGTTTTTCACCCAAAGTGGTATCTCTGGAAGCATCCGCTGCAAAGAATCTGTATCTTGCTCAACCAATGGGCGAATTTCAGGATTCTGACCAAGCGAAAGGTAACCAAATAAACTTCAGCAAATGTGGATGAAAATGCCACCAGTATATGATCATAACATTTACTACTCAATCCAATTTCTTTCTATCTAAATTTGTATGCCTTTTATCATCCAAAACATATAGACTCATTGTTTCACTGAAATATATTGATAACTGCCACAATCCCTGGTTTCTAGTCACTCTACTGTATCTCATCTCTGAAATCCAGACCTGCAATTCAATGCCACCCAGCTAAAACACATATTTTAAATTATTAAACATGTACCTCGCAACTCAAAAGTTAGGCATTAAAAAGAGGTGGCAGTGAACAATGTCAGGATAGAGCAACCTACGCTATAACTATAAGAGGTTGCACTTTAACCTCCATATAAGTCAAAACTCTTTAACACTAAACTTTCACTTCTTCAACTTCCTGAAGAAGAAGTCTATTATTCTTAGCATTGTGATCTTTCATATGTTCCTCAAAACCATTTCCTTAAATTTCATTCACATTCCCAAGGGTTTGGCCTAATTACAAGGGTTTTTGATAAACTTTATAAAATTCAGAAATGAATCTACCAAAATCGAAAACCTTGTAAATTTCAGAAATGAATCTACCAAAATTTTGAGTGAATGCTTATGACAAATTTCAGAAAAATCACGGGAAGTTTCCCAAAATTTTTGAAGCCAGCAAGGTTCATCTTCAACACATTTGACCCTTTAATCCGCGCAAAACAGAATCAGATCAACAAGACAATCAGCACAATTTTGGATTCCATGAATATGAATTCACTAAAAAGTCCACAAATAATCAAATAAAACACTAAAACAAGTACACAACATATATTCTCTAAGAAGCCTAAAATCTCCATTTAAACTTCAATTATCAGACTACAGTCTGCTCGGTAACTGTAAATTCTCAGAGAAACTAAATCAAAACTTTGAACTATAAAACTTACACAAACAAACACACCTTTTCATAAACAAAATTAAAATTTGAAAACTCAGTTACCTTGACATCAGTAGGCTGAAAGTAAATAAAAAAGAAGTAACCAATCACAAGTCCCGCAGAAACGCCGACGCCAAAGCCGCAAAAACCTAACACTGTACTTATAACTCCCATCCTTCACTTTCTCTCCTAATTTTCTCGGCAACCAAACAGCCGTTCCTCACAACTTTTGTCTTCTCCAATCACTGTTCATTCGGCAAATCTTTAAAAGAAGGAAAAGAAATAAAGAATTACATTTAAAAAAGCATAATAGATCAGATATTGTAAAAATGTGAAATGACAGAAATGTCCTCTGCCGACCTGGATAAAGAGAAGATCTGTTGAGAAGCTGAAGTGAAAGGATGTCAAATCATAAATGCTTGTGTTGTGACAGAGAGAGAACGAAAACTGAAAAGACGAATAGACGATTGACATGGATGGAAAAGCACAAAAACGGGGCGTTTTATTCAAGATTTGAGTTTTGCCTTTTACGGACATTACACGTTATTCTTTTGGACTTTAATGCTGGGTCCACCACCTGAATTGGGCCCGTCTGGCCCGGCAGATAACTGACACGTGTGAATTTCTTTTCTTAATATGAGCGGTAAACACGTAGGCACGTGTGCAAAATAATACAACTAAATAAAAAAAAAAAAAAAATTATCCATTGAATTTGATAAAAGGTTGATGAGTTGCAATTTGAATTGAGATTTTACCTAATGTTGTTTGAAGTTGAATGTCATCCAATTAAATATATTCTAAACCTAGTAACTATATCTATTAAGATTTTATTATAAGCATAATGTTACCTTTAGAATTTCAACTTTAACATGATTGTTTATTTGACATTAATTATAGATAAATAACGTAATTATGATATTATCATATAATTAATATGGTGTTAACATAAATATGTAGTCACAATAGTTAGAATATCAATTTCACATGTGTAACGATATTTCTTACATTATAATGTTTTATTGAATTACTAGCCTTAGATATTAACTTTATAATGAGAGAACCGTCCAATGAAATAAAGACACATATGGTTAATTTTAAAATCTTCCTCTTAATGGTTATTGTAAATGATAATGAGCGGATGAAAGAGAAACCCTGACAATCATGTGGCAACATATGCCTTTCTATTTTACGATGTTTTGCAGGAAATCTAAGTGTATAAATTCCTAGTTGGCATGCAAATATCTCGGAATATGGATCTCATATTCAAGGTCGAAGATCACGTAACTTTCCATTTAATCGAATTTGAGTTTATCCACAACTCAACTCAACTCAACTATGTAATTGACACTATATAAACACATTATAACTTGTTTTGGGGTAGCAAAAAGAGCTTCTTGGAAAATCCTTGTAAAAGCAGTTCGCTTATTACTTCACGTAGGTTTTGTATTATAAGCAGCCGAGCCATTTTAAAAAGTCTATTTTATTCTTTAGTACTTTATGTTTATTATTGTGCATTCAACATCGTATTATTCATCCATCGAATTACAAATGTTTTCTCAGTGTGGTGACTACAACTAACTGCCTACTTTTTCTCTCTGAATTTCTCAATTCCTTAACCATTGGCCTCTGGACCTTCGAACCCGCTTTTTTATTTTATTTTAACTTGGTATTCATAAGAGTCGCAATGGCGATAGTTAGTGGAAGTTAGCGTCAGCAGAATGATTGTCGTCTGCTCTGACGCAAGTTGGGCGATCGAGGGAGTCAGGTCATGATTGTGTTTAGTGATTATTACAACCGTGGTTAACTAGAGTTTGTCGGATGGTTTAGGCGAAGCAGCTACATGTACTACATGTGGTGCTTATGCAGCTTGGCAAGCTTGTTAGGTGTCGCGCTAAGTGTTGGCCTGTTGACACTTGGTTTTCCAATCATGAGTTTTATTATGGGACACTGTTTTTGCAGTTCAGGTGTCATTGATGCTAACATAATGTACTTAATAAGTTTTATGTTAGTATCATCCAAACACTTTTGGTAAACATCTCACTGTTTTTAGGTGATCATCACCAGGCTCTTGAGGCAGAGCCTGATCAATGGTATACAATTTACTTTCAAACTCAAGTACAATCCGAAGATGTCTATACCGATTTGAAAAATTACTACCATCCAGAATGTGTTTTAAATCTTAATTGTGAAGACCTTATTATCACATGTGATGGCCACTCTATAATAGTTCATAGCCTCATTATTAGTCTAAACTAGAGCAGAGATAATACAGTAAGACTATCATCTCATTAAATGACCTTATCAAAAGGTAGTGATAGATCTCACATGTCAAAGTTGTTTGGTGACAATTTGGTGCAACAAGTGGGTCCTTATATTTGACAAGTTCACAAGACTGACCCATCAAATGATTTCATATAGATGGTAACCCTAGTGTCTATGAATATATCATTCATTTGTTAGGGCTCTAACTAAACCAGTGTGATCGCTAATTCATTACCCAACGGGTCAATGTCCTCAATCTCCATATCAAAATCTACCTTGTTGTACACAAATTCAGATTTCTTAGGCACTTTCTATGGAGTTGCATGCTACTTCTTACCAACTTTCTTAGAAACCTAGTAGACATTAAAAAACAAGTCAATATTAAAAACATAAAAAGATGAATAAAACACAGCTAATCTGGAACACAACTTACATGCTCCTCGACTAATTCTTAGGGGAAGCTATCCCACAACAAACTACCGCCGCAACCCTCAAGGTAAATCATGGGCAAAATACTACATTTTCATCCAGTGGGGAATCAAACCTAGGACTATGGGTTGAACCATTTACAGCCTCCTTGGTTCGCACTTACGCTACCCGTGGGTGAGTAATTGTTACATGTTTGCTTACGAAATCCACCAGAAAATCAAAGATGTTAAGAGGATAGTATCCTAAAAATCTCATATTATTCATCCATCAAAATCACGTGCACGTCCTACGTGATTCTAGCATTGTCAGTCACATACATCTGGTTAGTACGACTTTTTGCATCAACATATGACATTCTAAAATCAATAATGCTACGGACACTGGGATTTTTGCACCGAAACATTGTACCGGTCTACGTGTAACACGCCTCTGATTTTTTTAACAATTTTTTTCTAATGAACAGCCATCCATCAAATTTGGACGGTCGTTCACTCACATGGACGCCCGTCCATATTATATGGACAGGGGTCCATATACCAAGGATGGGCGTCTCCATTTAATGGACGCCCGTCCATAAGTAAAATGGAATAATTTTTTTTTATAAAAATTAGGGACGGCCGACCGTCCCTTCATTTTGGACGGGCGTCTGCAAATAAGGGACGCCCGTCCTTAACCAAAATATGAAAAAAAAAAAAAAAAAACATTGGGGACGGCCGTCCATAAATTTTGGATGGCCGTCCCTTACGTTTGGATGGGCGTCCATACTTTTTAAAAAAAAAAAAACACCTTCGCTCTTCTTCTTCTTCTTCGCCAAGCCAAAAACCACAGCAACATCTCTCACAACATAGCTCATTGATTTTGATCCATTTGCAGTTTGTTTGAGAGAAAAACAAAATGTGTTCTGCTTTAGTTTATTACCTCTCTTTCCTCTTTCCTCTTCCCTCTTACAAGATATTTCAATATCCAATCTCCAGATAAAACAAATATCTTCTGCTTTAGTTTTTCCTAAATATGGAAGACTTAAGCTTTTATATTGGAGTCGTAGGTGAGCATAAGCAATTTCTATCTCTGTATGATTTTCTGTATATATATATATATCTATGCTCAGAAAATATGCATGGTCATATATGTTGCAAGCAATGTTATTTCAGTGCTGGTGTTATTTTCTCCAGCGTAATGTCACGCACTTAACTTCTTTGCTAAGTTTGTACGGCCTTAACTCATCGGAAATGAGTTAAGCAGCCTAACGCTCACACAAACTCACAGGCTCAAAGTGTATCAACGAGAGAGAAACTCTGTATTGATGGAATTCAAGTTATGAAATTTACATAGTGGAGTTGGCTATTTATAGGCTCAAGCTCTTCAAATAAATATGTCTAAGCTACATGCTTCAGCATTAAGAAAACCCTGGGTGTCAAGCATTGGTGCAGCCTTAAAAACGAAGCTCGTGGGTGGCGAGCATTGGAGCAACCTTGGAAACGAAGGTGCTTAGTCGTCGAACCTAGCTGCTGAGTCGTTAACTTAGCTCCTAAGTTAACTTAGCTCTTAAGTCTGCTTCACTCTAAAGTATACTTAATTAGTAAGCAACGTGCAGCATGCTTAGGCAAGCAGGCTGGTCGTGACATTCTCCCGCACCTAATACTGCGACGCCCTCATCGCATTATCTTTGTAGCGCAGGATTGAGTCTTGGAATTGCTACAATGAGTCTTCGGTCTCCCAACTGGCTTCGGCATCAGGAAGTCCCTTCCATTTGATGAAGTATTCCCGATAATTTGGCACACCACGTCGGCGAACGACTCTGTCGGCAAGTATTTCTTCAACTTCCTTATCAAATGATGTTACAACGGCTGTTGGTGCTCATTTAGAGACTCCTCAGGATGGATGCTCCGGGTCTTCGTGGAATGGCTTCAACAAGCTTACATGAAAGACCGGGTGTATCTTCAGTTTCGGAGGAAGTTGGAGTTAATACGAAACTTTGCCGATGCATTGTATCACTTGAAAGGGCCCTTCATATTTGTGCACGAGGCCTTTGTGCACTTTCCTTAATGTCTTGAACTGTTGGGGTAGAAGCTTTATGAGAACAAGATCACCTTCTTGGAACTCAACATGCCTTCTTTTCTTGTCAACCCACTTCTTCATTCTCTTTGCTGCCTTGTGTAGGGCTGCACGAGCAAGTTCAGTTTGTTCGTGCCAAGACTTGGCTAACCTGAAGGTTGCAGGGCTCTTTTCATCATAGCGTATGGCTAAGGAAAGAGGTGTGTTCGGTTGTCGTCCCATGATGATCTCAAAAGGACTTTTGTTAGTTGTCTCGCTCCGCTGCAAGTTAAATGAGAATTGGGCCGTGTCAAGGAGCTTTGCCCAATCCCGCTGGCTAGCGCTCACATAGTGCCGCAAATATAGCTCTAACAGTGCATTGATGCGCTCGGTCTGACCATCAGTTTGGTGATACAAGCTTGTCGAGAAGTCTATGTTTGATCCTAGCATCTTGAATAACTCTGTCCAAAATCTCCTGGTGAACCAAGGATCTCGATCACTGACTATGCTTGTCGGAATGCCCCATAACTTGATGATGTTGCGGAAGAAAAGCTTAGATG